ATGCAGATGTTAGTAGGTACGTCATGGAGGTATTCACATCCTTCTTGAGCATCAATTACAGATTACAGCAGTTGGAGGCATTTGTGTATTTTGGTACAAATCTTGTTCTATGTCACATTGATACAATTTCAGTAATATAATCAACAGAGCCACACTATTGTGGCAGAGTTTTAGTCCACTGCTCGCATTGACACTTGAGCAATGAAAATTTTACTAGTTTCCAAATCCCAGCTTAAAAATCAGGGCAGCAGCGCTGAAGTTTTGTTGGTTTCTCCAGTGCAACTTGTAGGCATGAGGCAGCTTTTTACTAGTAGTGCAGTACTAGGAGCTGCTTTATTGACTACTTTGTTGGCTCTGATCCCGAAGTCCCAACCTTTAACCTGCTTTGGGCTTAGTCATCCTACTTCTTCTGTGGCTGCTGCCCTTCCTCAATGAAAGTTATCTAAAATGAAGCAGCAACTTCTTCTCTGGACAAGAAAGGTGGGCTGGCCTCCTAGGCATTTGCATCAGCTTTGCAAACAGAAAGATGAACTTCACTCATCACCTGCCACATGAAATCCTTATCAAAGCAAAGACTGCTAGAGGGGACCATTTTATTAAGACTAGAAAGTCTTTGGGGAGCACAGTCACAAATGCCCTGACGTATGAAAAGGCATGTAATTTCATCTGATGAGACAGCTAACACTCAGATGGACCAGAAGCACTTTGTCTGGGCTAGGTAAAAGCCCAATGAATAGCACATGTGACTTCTCCCTGTGGCTGAAGATTTCAAAGTCCAGAAGAGATCACTGCACATTATTATGGCTAAGAACATATTCAGATCCCTGCTTGTTGACCAGAATATCTATATTGATGTGGAACTGAAGCATAGAAACTCTCCCCCCTCTGAACAGCACCTTATTCTGCTTCTTTGGTGATGCTAATCGATGAGTCATAGAATGGGGTATTTAGTTAATTAAGACATGGCCATATAACAACTGGAGAAAAAGCAGAAGGAATTTCATACCACAAAAAATATCTTAATGCTAAAGTACAACTAAACATGCCTGACAGATGAATTTCTGGTCACTCAGCCAATCATAAAAAAAAAGGATGGATTTTTATTACTACATCTCTTCATATACTTGCTGAAGAACTCAGACTTTGGAATATAAAACAGGGCAGGAAAAGAGACATTCAGTATGTACAGAAGACATGAGCTTTGACAGGTCACTTCTTAAAAGCAGGAAGGAATGCAAAGCAAGGTGCAGAAAGCAGAAGATGGGTACTGGGCTGTCAGTGATGAAATAGTCTTGTTTTTCCAGAAAAATATCTACTTACTGTACACCATGGTGAGAAGGAAGCTCAAGCACAAAGAGAACAGTAAAGCTATACGACATTTGCAAAGTCTAGTTCAGACTGTTGTATCAAAATATCTGAATGCAACTTCATCCGCAGTCTCAAGTTCTGTTTTCTAATTTGGTTTATTAACAACATAAGGCAGAAACTGTCATCACATGTTTATAAAGTAGCCAGTGCTCCCAGGAATCTAGACTTATTTGGGACACTGGATATAACTAAGAGTTTAAAAAAAGAGAAAGAATCTAGCAAAACAACTGTTTTCCAACATGATCCACAGATCAGACCAAACCCAGGATTCTTTGACCTATGCCATTTCCTATGTGACCATGACAGTTCAAGTTAAATCTCTATTGTGATTCTCTGTCACGACTCACTCTTGATCAACAATTTGAAACCCCTTTTGAGTTCTGGGGTCTCCATCAGGATGTGATGATGTGCTCCAAGGAGGGAAGGAGCTTGATTACAGACAAGGCACAAAGCATTAGAAATATGTGCAAGACCAAGTTAAATAAACTACTTAAACACGAGACACTAACTTAGCAGTTTCAAAAGGACCATATTTTTAAGACAATGCAAGACAGATAAAGAAACAAAATTTCCTTAAAAAACCTAACCTCACTGTTGTTTTGAGTGTTACACATATACGAACACACCACATCCAGCTCTCAATTAACTGCTTTCTCACTCCAAATGCAGGTCTGCAATGCATAGAAATGTAATTATTTACACACCACTATCATTGCCACTACTGTCTGTACTTCTAAAGCATCTTGATTACTCTACTGATGAGCACCATGGAAATGCCTATTAAAAAAAAATAATCACCACTCCTCATTAAGTTACAGCTCACGGACTGAGAAAGGATGATTTTCCTTTGTACGTTCCTTTTGTAAATTTTATCATTTCACAACAGAGGGAGTAACGTGCCTCTGATGACACTCAAAGAGACAGACTGTCAGGATTCTTGACAGTATCTCAGCTTTGAGCAGCTTGCATTTTTGCATGAATATTTTCTCCTGAAAATAAAGTACTGTTTGTCAGAATTAGGCATTCAAGAGCCTTTTCCTAATGTCAGAATCAGACATGCAAAAACCTCTAATATCATGTCAGAAGGTCAGATTTTATGGAGAAGTATGTCACAGAAACCCTAACAGCAAACACTGCACCCACAGCAGGAGCTTCTAGGTCTAGCTTCAACACCAAGAACACACATAGGTGGACAATTTCAAATAAATTTAGATAAAAAAAGAAACAAACAAACATTGAAGGAAACCTTCCAATAAAAACAAAGCCTTGGTGAACCATGATTGCTCTTCAGGAGGCTCTAACAGTAATTGATGCCGCAAACAAGTATCAAACATTCCATTACTGCCACATCTCACAACCTCACACCCTTCAATAACTGCGACACTGCAGGTACATTTGCACACAGTGAAACTCCCAGCGGGGTCTCCAACACACAATGAAATATCACATTTCATAAAATGGTGAATTATAAAGCCAGCAAAACAAGTTAAATGTGGTATCTTTACTCAGACCGTACTGAAATCACATTTCTGCAACAAAAACTGATGGTGAGGTTGTCAGGTTGCCCCAGTCAGGACAGTGCTGAATTAAGGCACCAGTCAGGGTACAGCTATCGGAGCCTGACATGAGGAAAACAAGGTTGCCTTTTATTTTTGGACTCAAGAAGAGTCATGTATGGTGCAGTGTCTGCTGTGGACAAGAGCTTGCAGTAGGAATTGCTATATTACATGGATCTTTGTGCCCCTTGCTCAGCTGTAGCCCCATGCAAGGCAGTCACTCCAACAACAGATTGCAGCCTGCCCCACAGCAGCTCCACTCTAGGCAATCTGTAGATTGAGAGCAAGCAGCATTTCCCAAATCCCAGCTTAGGACCACAATCCCCACAATTCCACAGGCTGGTCCAGTCACCAGGCCACAAGCTCACTTCAGTTTATGGGCTGATTCAGTCTTGCTCTCCAGAGGTGGACACGAAAACACCATTGACTCCTGTAAGTAGCTTAAAGGTAGAGAACAGAACAGTTTGATGGAAGCTCATGGGACATCCCTATTTCTGCACACCGTTCAAAGCAACGTCTCACCTCCAAAATGCTGGCTGTTCCCAAAGAACAGAGGCATTTTACAGGTTCAGATTAAGATCCTCGTTCACAGCTGTGAGAGCAACAGGACACTGTGCCAGCATGAGTAGGCAACTGCTTTCAGGCCAGATCCATCTATTAAATCCTTTGTAAAGCTGCTGTGAATCAAAACACATGGTCCTATGCCTATATAGGACTTCCTCAGTGAGGATGGATCATTTGACTCTCTCCTTCCTCTTCCCCCAGCCACTTCCAAGGTTTCCAGTATACCACTCCCTGTATCACTGCTTATTTACAGCATGCTACTGCATCTATGGACAGTGTAGCTGGAAAGTCACTCACTCCTGTATAAACTATACATATTATCAAGAAAAAGCGCTGGGTTGAGACAAGTGGAAAGAAAAGCACTGACAGGTAGATGAGATTTTTGTATATCTGAAGCCAGAAGCAGCCACTAACTAATGTGTGGGATACAGAGGTAGGGAGAAAGTAAGGATATCAGACAGGAAAGTAGCATGTCACTCTGACATGCTACTTTCAGCTCCCAGACACTGCACGGGACACTTTATGGGCCTGTATTTGGGGTTGGAAGGATGAACATTTTCATATGTAAAGTCTGCATGTTAGTTGGACACATTGCCTAGGGTTAGCGTGATATTTCAAGAGCCAGTATTTGAGTAATTTTCTCCAGAGATAGAAAGGAGTTAACTTAAAGCAATAACATCAATCCCTAGGATAGTCAGCGTCCACTCAAGAGCTGTGCTGCCTCACTCCAGAATTTGGAGCAAGAAAAATAGTGACAAAAATAAGATCATCCCTCAGCTACAGAAGACACAGAACTGTTAATTCAAACTCAGAATTTTCCTTGAAGAATCTAGCTCTTCCCAGTCCCCAAAGTTACCCTCTGCATTCCTTTAAGTGTTTTCATAGATACAGCAATATGAAATGGCTTATTGCTGTGTAGCTGCTAACAAGAGACAGATGTTTCCTTCAGTTCCAGGAAAATGTAGACATGAAGCACATTATGATGACCCACTAAATATTTTTGACCCAAATCCCTTTCTGCATGTTACCTTTCCACGCATCTAGTCTCAAAAATGCAGCACAATTCCACGCTTTTCCTGCTAATTACTGGGCTAGACAGAAGAGCACGCTTAGATCAATTACTTTATCTTAGCAAGCAAGGAAAGTCAAGCAACACGTTTTCACTCAGTGAATCCAAAGCTCAGGAGTTCTGGCAGTTAATTTGGAGTCAAATCAGCTGGTGGCTGTGAGCCGAACTCCCCACGTTATTTATTTCGTCCGGAAGACACGCAACGCGCGCTGGCGTGCAGGACGGAGCATCTGTCCCGCTCAGACGGCTGGCTACATTCTTGATGTGATATTAATACCAGCGAAAATTTAGTAACTTCACCACTGGCATGAGAAGTCTGACTTCTACCAGAACAGATGGCGGTGATCATCTCAGGTTAATTTTAGGCTTCAAAAATTGTTCTGAGTCAGCAGAGCCTCAAGATAAGAGAAAGAAAAAGACATAACATCTGTAAAATCTCCTACCTGTTTCCCATCCAAGGTATACAGCTTTTTGACGACTCCTGTCTCCAGTTTTATAGCTTCAGTGATATCGGTGAGAACTTGCTCGAACGAATGGGCAGTCTTCTTGTTCAAGAGCACACGGACTGCCTTCCGGGGCTTCACCCCACTGCGGATGATGGTTACCAGCTTGGGACGCACAAAATCTTTGTTCTCCTTTGCCTGGGCACTGTTGCTGCTGGCCAGAGACTGAGGTGCTTTCTGGTTGGCAGATGTCTTCACATTGACAGACCAGTTGGGATTGACGTTCTTGGTGTATTCTACCTTCTTGAAGAAGTTGTCGGATGAGCACACGTAGCTCTCCCCTTTTGAAAAAAATGAACACAAGTCTAATTCTACAGTTACTACCATAAAAACCAGACATCATACATTTCCCCGTTAATCATGTAAATCATTAATCATTGTTTTCATTAGCACTTCCCTGACAGCTTGTTATTAAAACATTTTGTCTTATTATAATTTTATATTTATGCTTATTTAAAAGATGACTAGTATTTCCCCAAAGTAAGCAAGTCAGCCATAGCTCGCATCTGCAAACACATACTACCACTCAGTCACATGAACCAATGGCTGAAAAAGGTTGGGAGTTACAAAAGGTATTTGGGTACCTGAAGATGCAACTAAGCTGTCTAAAAGCTCCTAAACAGCAAATTCATTTATCACCTAAATAATTTTGTCAATTTGCCAGCTTCCTCTCCATCCTTACTTAGCAACTACTTCAGTCTGTCATCCCCTGCCAAGAAGATATCAACATTCATCCACAAAGTATCTTTCGCGTCATGCCCGAAAAATAATGAAAACCTGGTACTGAATAGTCTCGACTAAAAGCAGCTTTGACAAATCCAGCAGGCATAACAAACATGCTTCGTTATAGTGTCAGTGGTCTATTAGGAGGATAGACCTAGTGGCAGCTGAGATAAAAAAATACACCAAATACCACTGCTTGCCTTTATATGACTGGTACCAACCAAAAATATATTAAATCCAAATTTAGACATGGTAGAGAAGAGTTACACAGTCTTGTTAGTAGTTCACAAAAAAAAAACCCTTCCCCATCCCATCCAAAATTAGTTTCAAGCTTTGACTGTAATTTACAGGATCCTATCTACCTAAGGTTTTAAGAGCACCTTAAAGGATTTATAGGATGATCTTCTGGGCCTGCAAATCTGACGGATGCCAGGAGAGTTATTACTAGAGTGACACTGTAAAACAGTATCCCTAAGGGAATGTAGCTGTCTGGTCTGAAATGACTCAGGCTGCTGAGCATTTGAGGATGCACTGAAAAAAAGTCAGTCATTGCTAGAGGAAGAAGCTTTTGTCTCGCCACTAGATAAAATTTTAATAGGAACTGAAGGCATAACATGGGTACCTGTAGGATTTTATGAAGTTTCTTTCAGTGTTTTATTGGGCTGATCTTACAAAACTAAGTTCTTCAAATATTACGATAGGTTTGAAATCAAAATACAGATTTAACTGTTTTGAATAGTTAAATCCTTCTTCATATAAACAGACTGGCTGCATTTCCTTATCTGTTCCCTACTGCAAACTCCAGGGCCTGGACATCTTTGAAAAGCCTACCCGATATCCGAGTCTGGCTTTCCATTAGAGGATCTCTAGGGCAGGATTTGACATCCAATCGGCAAAGGTGTAAACATGGATTTCCAAACAGCCCACAACAGAATTTTATGGTCAAAGCAAGTGATGTATCCAGTGTCATGTTCATATAGTCATCCTTCTGCTGACTAAATTGCAGTTTTGATGGAGGCACTGAGATGACCCCTTCATAGAGCACACGGTGAGACCACTAGCAGGTACACAACAAACAGAATGTTTTAATAGGATTAAAACATCGGTCTCTCTAGTATTTATGTCCTTATTACTGCTAAGTGTTTGATGTCACAAGCAGTCATGGAAAAGATGCAGGATGCTAACTTTTTTTTAACCCTGACTTTGTACCCAGTTTGCCAGAAAGTGGTGCATGCTCATGGTGCTTACATCACCAACTGCAGCTTTTCTCCATCTCCCCAGTTGCATAAAACGACCAAAATCATTTATCAACAGGAAGAAGATACTTTGTTTTCCCTTCTGAAGATGGAACAGGAATACAGAAGGCAGCAGAGAGCTAACAAGGTTCATGACGAACACCGTCAGTTGGGCATTGTAGCAACTAGTGTACCCCAAACTGACGCAACAATCCCACCAGGAGGCTCTGTTGGCTTTAACAAACAACACCAATCTGTATTTGAGGCACATATACTGTCAACGAAACCCCTCAACAAGCTGACCATGTAGTATCCATAGCTGAAGCTCCCTAATTCCTTACGTATCTTGAATCTGACTCAATAGAAGCATAAAGATACCCCACAGAGTACCATACATTATAAAGAATTCCCATTGGAGATACCGATTGTTTTCCAGAAGCATTGAACACTTTAAATCTTTCTGATTAATAAGTGATGAGCTGTGGTTTATTCATCTGCTTCAGCCAAGCAACACCTGGTGTGGAAGGGGCCCACTTGCCTCCAGTTTCACAATTGGGTGTGAAGTGCAGCAAAGGGGGTTTGAAATGCTCACAGGGAATTAGCCCTAAGAACCTGAGCCCTCCCGAGCCCGTGATCCCTGAGCAGCAGAGCCTTTACAAGCATGCTCAACAGAACTGTAGCATCATCCTTCAAGAAAAGGGATTTCCATGTTTAAATTCAATACTAGGAGTAAGTGTTTTGAATACTATTCTCACCCCCACCCCAGGCCTCTCTGTGGAAGATCCAGACATCACCTGCACCTCTGCTTCCCTACCTGAAAAACAGACGGAACAATATCTGCTCCTGAAGCATTGCAAGGCTTGACATCCATCTGTGTTCACGTAATACTTTGGAATAGAAGATGCCACAGTGAAAGTGCGTGCATGTTTGCACTGCGTTCTATAAACACGTGAGGAGTTGGAGCATATTTTCCATTAATAAGTTCCATGTTTTAAAGTAAGCGGAAGAGATTATTGGTCTGTTTGGGAAAGCGTTATTACTCTTCGTTCCAGCTGAATCGTTTGAAATTCTTCCCTGCACACCATAGCTGTCCGGTGTATTTACAACGGTGTACACTGATGGCAACAGTGGCACGAAGGCAATACTCTTCTAGGCTCAGTTTCCACAAATATGGCATTAGGTAGTTGTGCATATATGAATATATATGCACACACTGGCCTTTCAAATTATAGAATCATAGAATGGTTTGGGTTGGAAGGGACCTCAAAGATCATCTAGTTCCAACCCCCCTGCCATGGGCAGGGACACCCTCCACTACACCAGGTTGCCCAAAGCCTCATCCAGCCTGGCCTTGAACACTTCCAGGGATGGGGCATCTACAACTTCTCTGGGCAAGGCTCACAGTTACAAGTGGAAAATGTAACCTGCCCTTTCTCACTTTGTTTCATTTAACCCAAACCCCAGCAAATATTTTATTGACTTCTGAAACTGGACAAAAATTTGCTTGGAGCGACACTTCAGAAGAGCAGTTCAGAATAGGAGCTCTTCTCAGCACCATTTCTGCAGTTACACCACTATAGCTCTAGGGAAGAGGAGCTTTCCTTTCCTACTTCCTTGACCTGAAGCTTTACTTAATTTAAAAAAATCACTTCCACTGACATCTTCCCAAAAATTATGGCCCTCAAATAATGGCAAGATTATCATTCAAGTTTCTCAGTGAGGCCCATCCCTTTTACCATTTGCCAGCCAGGAACACGTGCTATTTCACTTCCCACAGTTGAGTTTCACCCAAACCTTACCATCAGGTGGTAGCAGCATCAGGCAAGCATGGGCTGAAGACCTGTGAACTTTCCAGCTTTGAGCATGCGTATTGTGGCCAGAAGATCACAAAAGAGAAATCTTATGAGGAATAGTGCTACCACAGAAAGGGGAGTGGTTTCTTGGTTTCTCTGCTACGTCTATCTGCACTAAGCCTATAATGAGAAGTCAAGGTGTACAGCTGTGCCAGTCAAAGAAACAGAACTGACAGACACAGCATGGTTGCAGAAAACGTGCACAGCATAACAGGAGGGAAGGGGAGGAAGTGGATATGAGATTTTGTCAAAAGCAGAAGAAACAACTCCAAGTATATTGTTCCCAGCTCTATGCATAAAAATCCGTGCACAAATACTTTCAGGAACACGCCTTTAGACAGCAAGCAGCTGTGTACATGTGCAGAAATCCAACTATAAGCCATGAGAACGTACGGCAAGCAGCCATGTCATTACTTCCAAGCAAAACCCCAAAGAGACACGCTCACACATAGGGGATGGGAAGCTTTTGTAAGAGGGAGAAGCATCATCCTGACAAGATCCAATCTGCTGAACACCACGCTATGGCATGACACCAGTGGTGCCAAGGACAGCAATTTTTCTAGAGCAGCACCAGGTCAGTGCATGATGCGAAGCCAAAGCCCTGCAGGACAACGTGCACTTGTCATTGTGCCAGCGTGCTCCAGAGGTGTCACAATTTCTATCGTGCCACCAAACCAGTCAAGGCATTTATTTATTCCTTCCGTTCTGCCCTCAGCAATAGATGGGCTGACTGTAGACCTTTGACCGTAAGTGGTGATCAGCGTATTTGCCATTTGAAGCCACGGCTTGTATCGCACTGAATTACGCCGGCTGCGAGCGCGTTGCACGTTACTGTGCTGCCAATTTGAGAGAGGCACAAGGCGATTATTCAGCTTCTAAAGAAGGGATGATCTCAGCAAAGATAAAGTTTGCCTTAGAGAAGGTTTCTTAGAGAAACTCTAAGCTCTGGATGAGCGCTAATCCTTCAACCCTCTTACAGCAGCTCCCTGTGACAATAGTAAAACCGACAGGCTGCACTTTCAGAAGAAGTTATCCTTTCTCAGCAAGTTTTCAAGTATAATGAACCATGGGCAGAAGCCTTGCGAGAAAAATCAGGACAGCTGGATTGAGGCCATTTTGGAAGTACAAATGCAAACAGTTATTCCAAAAACAGTCTCTGTGGGCTGCAGTCAATTATTTTGGTTGTTAGCTCTGCTGTCGCAAAGTTGAGATTGTGCTACTGTGCCCAGCTTTCATGTTCCATGGGATTTACTATGCCTTCAATGGGAATTAAGCAGACTTAACACCTTGCAGAGTTCATTACATATGGTGTTAAAGTAGGCCTTTAGTTCCAAATGCATGAACTTCCTGCTCCTTTGTGCATTAAAAAGGATCTTCCTCTGCCTCAAGACCTACTCCACCATGGCAAAATGAACTCTGAAAGAGCTTCCTTCCTTTGGCTCTTCCAGAGGGAGCTCTCCCATGACAGAG